AGCTCGGCGGTTAAGAGCACTTAACTGCTGTTGCAGAGCATCTAGGTTTCATTGCCAGCACCCATATCAGGTGGCTCATAATCACGGGTAATTCCAGTTCCAGGGAGGTGATGTCCTTCGGCCTCTAAGGGCACTTGCATACACACGGCACACATAAACTCACACAGGTACACACACGTAAATAAAACATATGAAGGAATCCTAAGCACCTAGAAAAATATCAGAATGCAGTCTCACATATTAAGGATAAGTATCTTTTCTTTAGTTTGCTTGTTTTTTGTTTTTTTTTTTTTGTTTGTTTGTTTTTCAGGAAACACGTTGCCCAGGCTGGCCTTGAATTCACTACAATATAGCTCCCCTTCTCCCCAGAGTACTGGAATTGCTGGCCTGCACCACCACATCTAACACACACACACACACACACACACACACACACCCCGTTAGATTTATTCATTTTACTTTAGTGTGTATGTCTGTGCCCCTCATGCACACTTGGTAAACCAAGGTGGTCACAAGTGGGCATTGGAGTTTCAGGAACCACAGTACGGATGCTGGGACTCAAAACCAGATCCTCTGCAAGAGGAATGAATGGCTGCTCTTAACTGCAAACCATCTTTTCAGCCCAGATCATGTTTCTTAAACTTATATTTCAGGTGTGTGTGTGTGTGTGTGTGTGTGTGTGTGTGTGTGCGTGCTGGTTTGTGAAACAAAATATGTTTTCTGGCCCACAGTATTAATACCAAGGAATAAACGAAAAACAAACAAACGAAAAAGGGGAAACCCCTGGAAAACTGACTGGAAAGTTCATGGCCAGCGAAGCCCTGAGCTGGAAGAGGAGTCACTGGGAAGCTGAGGAGGCCTGACACTGAATGTGGTGCCCGTTGTCTCCCAAGGGTCTTTGAGTTCCCCAGAAGACGTCCAGGAACCGGAAGCCTCATCTTGAGGACTGTCCCATTGATGGACAGCACCAATGGTTACAATGTTCTTCCTAATGGCCCCTTCCACTTCCACCCGCCAGTTCTCCTCTGCATCTGTCGGAACCCACACTGAGAACACATAGGCAAATACATTAAATAGCTGTCTGTGCTCTCTTAAGGTTTTCCTCCTTGTGTCAGCGTTTCTCCTTTCTGGTGTCTAAGCTTTCTAGAACTAGCCTGGTTGTCCTTCTGGAAGTTACCGTTATCGGAGGAGGCACAGACTGGTCCAGACAGGCAGGTGCTTCCCCCTTCTCTCGCCTCACATCTCCTGTGTGTCTATGTGTTCCTGAAGAGTTGGGCGGAGCTGGATGTGTGTCACGTGTGTGTGTGTGTGGGGGGGGTCAGAGGACAACCCTTTGGGAGTCAGTTCTCCCCTTCGTCCTTATGCAGGTTCCACGGTGGAGCTCAGGTCAGCAGGCTTGTGAGGTGAGCGACTTCACCCCCTGAGCCGTCTCACTGGCCTCTTTCTTCCTCTGACAGAATCTCATGTAGTCTGTGCTAGCCTTGACCTTGCTGTGTAGCTGAGGATGGCCTTGAACTTCTGATACTGCTGTTCCTACCTTCCACGAGTAAGGATTATAGGCGTGTGGTAATATACCCAGCAAGGGTTTTTCTGAAACATTGGCAGGCAAAAGGCACCGTTGTTATTCTTTTACCAAAGAGGCTTAGTACATTCAAACAGCTTACCCAGATATGTTTACCCAGGTTTTTGCATGACTCCTGGTCTTATAAATGCATCCTCATGTCTACTTAAAGCAAAAACATATTGTGGGATAGGTTCTGTTTTAGACAAAGTCTTTTGAAAATTTATTTGTTTGTTTGTTTGTTTGTTTTGAGACAGGGTCTTTCCACACGTCCTGGGATGTTCTGGAACTCACTATGTAGAGCAGGCTGACCTCATATTCATGGAGATCTGCCTGCCTCTGACTCCCAAGCGTTAGAATTAAAAGCGGGTGCCGTTATTGTCAGCTAAAATAAGCTTTTTTTTTTTTTTTTTTTTTTGAGACACTCTGCTGTGTCCCAGGCTAGCCTCCAATGCCCTATCAGAGCTCAAGATGACTGTGAACACCTGTTTTTCCTGCCTCTGATGGTTCTCTGTGTATCTCCTGCTGTGGATTGGGCATAAGGTTTTCTGCAAGCTAGGCACACACTCTACAAGATCAGTTGCTTGTTTATTTTTAAGTGTATGCGGTTTTTTGTTTTTTTTTTTTTTTTGTGTGTGTGTGTATGTGTGTCTGCAGTGCCTGAGACGTCAGAAAAGAGCACTGGATCCCCTGGAATTGGACCTATAGACAGCTGTGAGCACCACGTAGGTGCTGGGAATCAAACCCAGGTCCTTTGAAAGAGCAACCAGAACTCTTACATAAGGAGCCCAGACAGTCTGTGTAGCCTAGGCTGGCCTTGAATTCTGTTCTCTCGCCTCACCCTCCTGAGCTATGGGGCCTCAGGCATTCAACCCATAATCACCTTAGGTAATTTTCATTTATTTATTTTATATGTTAGTATTTTGCCTTCTGTCTGTGTACCGCATGTATGCCGGATGCACTCAAAGGCCGGAAGAGGATATCAAGTTGTCTGGAGTCAGAGTTGTGAGCCACCATGTGGCTGCTGGGAATTGAACTCTGGTCTTCTGGAAGAACAGCCAGTGCTCTTACCCATTGAACCATCTCTCCAGCCTGTAGATGAATAATTTCTGAGCATTTCAAGCTCCCTGTAGAATATGATGTGCAGGCAAAACAATGTGTACTCATACCCGGGCTTTTGTTTTGTTTCTTTGGAAACAAGGTTTTGCGGTTTAGTCTTGAACTTGCCGTGTACCCCAGGCTGAACTCGCCGTGTACCCCAGGCTGAACTCAGACTCACCGCAATCCTCCTCCCTCTCCCCGCTGTGTGCTGGATACTGGCATTATAAGGATGTCCCATAATGCTGGGCCATACCTGTGCGTTTGCGTGTGTGCACGTGTGCGTGTGTTTACCTTATTTATGCCTATGCCCCTATGTGAACGAACTCAAGTATGTGCAGATGTCTGAGGAGGCCCAGCTAGGGCTTTGTGGGGGTGTTCTGGTGACCTACGCTCCCATGTTCTTGGGGACACTTGGCATTGCCATCAGGTGGGTGAGTGGTGTGCGATTGAGGTCTTTAATGATCTACCTCCCCTTCCAAAGTGAGGTGCTCACTCAAGTCTTAGGCTATTTTCCTCCCGGTTTTGTGATTTTAAAATGTGGGTGCATGTGGAAGTGACCCTCGAGATCAGCCTCAGGTGTAGCTCCTCAGCCAATGCGATGCTCAGTTTCAAAAATAAAGAGACAAGTTCTCTTATTGGCCGGCCAGTGAGCCTAGCCCCAGAGACCCTGCTGTCTCTGCTTTCCTACCGTTGGGACTATAAATCTGTGCCCAGATTTTTGACATGGGTTCTGTGGATGGACCTCGGGTCCTCATGCTTGCCAGCTGAGCTATGCTGGGCCCACGGTTTTGCTAGTTTTTCTGCAGGCAGCTTTCTTACAGGTTTTTAGATTTTTTTTTTGTACTTATTTACATTAATTTGTTATTTCTGCAGGACACACGCATATCACTCCAGTCCCTTGCACAATTTACCACTGAGTAACACCCACATACCTAGACATGTTTGCTTTCTTATTTACCAATATTCTATGCTCTTTTTTATAATAAGAGCATAGAGTAGCACGCTCAATGTTTTTGTCTTCTTCTTCTTCTTCTTCTTCTTCTTCTTCTTCTTCTTCTTCTTC